TGGCCTTCTATTGGGGGTCAATTTTTGGCCAGTTTTTAATCAAAATCATTTAAAAAATTAATAATTAATTAATAACTTTAATTGTTGTTTTTTAGATGTTTTTTGCTGAAAAAACTACCATTTTTTGTAAAAACTGTACTATTTACGATAGGAAAGGAAGGATTTCGCAAAAAAAATTAGAAAATCGGTTATATTTCCTTCATTATTAATTAATATTTATGAAAATTTCGATAATTTTGGAATATATTAATTAATTAGTACATGGCCTTCTAATAGGGCGTTTGAACTTTTGCTCGAACATGGCCTTATACAGGGGGTGGCCGGCTATTGGGGGGGGGGGAGGGGTTAGTTGACTCAATAGAAATAGATTAATATATTTATTCCTACTATTCGATAGTTTGATCAGTCAAAAAAAGACCTTTTGTAAGTATAAGTTTTTCATTGTTAAATCTAAATAAAAAATTTCTCTTTTATTTTTCTTTAACCCTTTGTTACTAACGTCAAAAAAAATACAAATTTACTAATGTGGGTCAAAATAACTCAGAACTTTATTTACTAGTTTTAGTTTTAATGTTGTCTCTTCTTCTCTTTGAATCTTTTACAAAACTCCATTAACATAGTTTTTTTCTAAATTCAAGTATTTAAGATCAATAATTAAAATTTTATTTTGTAATTGTCAAAAAATTACAAAAGTTTGTTTACTTGCTCTCATGACACACAAGCATACCGTGATCTTTACAAATAGGTTTAGAACGTTTAGCACATCTCAAAATGACTTTTCTATCCTTCTCTCAATCACATAAATAGCATCTTTTGCGACCACCTGAAAATGAAGTTGATGCTACTATTGTTGTTGATGATGATGATGATGATTGTGATTCTGATATTGAAATTGTATCGATTACCCTCTTAATAAATAATTTTGTTGTCGCTCCATTTTCACAATTTCTTCGTTTTAACGCGTGCAAATAACTAATAAATAAAGTCACGAGATATCGTTTTAAAAAGTTTTATTGGAAAAAAGTTATAGATGTTTAATGATCGCTCTGGGTCAATTTGACCCACGTTAGTATATAAGGGTTAATAAACCATAGAAAAAGAAATGATTATGATAAAACAACTTCTTTGTCAACTATTCTCTGGTCAATGTCAATTAATATCCCTTCGACTTGATATTAGCAAAACGAATATATAAATAGTGATATTCATAGATGTTTAGCATCAACCTCAATCTTGTTGTATGACTCTTCGTCGTTTATTTATTAGACTTCAGTATACATATTTTCTTGCAAATCTTCTTAAACATGTATCCAATCTCGAACAAATGTTAGTTCAGTTTGATTAATCATTGCTATATGATTTATTATGGAAATCAAATATTGAAACCTCGAGTCGATCAAATGCAAATTGGCTTAATAAAGTAAGAAAAATCATCTTTTTTTATTTTATGAATTTCTCAAAATAATTGTTTCTTTTAATTCATAAAAACAATCGGATTCTTTTAAGGTGCCAAAGCTACGATGTTTTAGTTTAAAAATTTACATTTGAGGGTGTGGGTATAGATGGGTGTTGATATCTCGGAAAACATGATGCTCGCAAACACCCACATCTCACACCCATAATTCATTCTTGTGACAGGTCTTGAAAATTCTACAACTAAGTTATAATACTATCGAAGAAAGAGTTGCTCAACATTTAGCTAATGCACTATGCACTAATCAAGTGAGGATTGCCAATTATAGCTTACCTTTGTAGCACTTCTGCTATCTTCTTTACATAGACACTGAACACTTTGAATCTTGATTGGTGCACAGTTAGATATAATGGAGCAAAATATTTGGCAGAGGAATTACAAAGCAATAGAGTCATTTTATTTTTCTAATAATCACTCTTATAATCGCTTTTATCTTGCATCTAGACACTCATTAATCTTAATCTGTCTCGTAATGATATTCATTAAAGTGGGCTACAATATTTAATTCATGCATTAGCAGATAACGCAGTGAACGTTTTTCTATAGTTAATTCTTTCATATTGATATCAGTCTTTAACAGACACTTATTCAGCTTGGGCTTGAAGAAAATAGAACGCATGAATCTGGCTATTGTACTAGTGTTGCTGCAGCAATGAGAATATTTAACGATAAGATAACTATTAAACAAGCAAGAATACAGAAAGAAATTTAGTTTCGACTATTTTTATTCTATTAAACATAATTTTAACGAAATTCTCTGGGTGTTTTTTTGATTTCTAGAAGAATCTAAAGTGATGACAAGTGATTTTGTCAATTGATCAATGGTTTACCTATTATCTTCGTTAAATTTTGGATTTTGTAGCCCTTTCATAGTTTTTCTTTATTGCTGACTCAGACACTTATCAATTTGCCCCTTTTCAAGAAATGAATGGTACTCGAAGCTGCAGTGCTATTGGCGAATGCACTACGAGATAACACAGTGAGAGACTTATTTTGTCCAGCAATCTATTTAGTATGTAGCTACGCTCTTCTATGTAGACACTCACTGAACTCAATCTTGTCGATAATTTGATTCACAACCAAGAAGCAATATATTTACCTGGTGCTTTAAACAATAATAAAGTCAGAATTGTATTGTTTACTCAT